CAAAACAGTTGACAGAGTAGAGTACTTATAAAACAACAGAGAGATTTATTCTTCGTATATACTAATTTATAAATAATAAACCTTCTATGAGAGTGTGTATCATTTCAAGTTATCATTTCTTGCAACAATTCACTGAAAGTGAAAAATAAAATAAATAAATGAAAAGAATTACCATTCCAACTTGTAATAGAAGCTGAAATATCAGAAGATAAAATCCAAAAGATAATAGAAAATAAATACAAATAGATCATTATAATCCAATTCACATTAGATTTTATCAAGTAGAAACAAATACTCTACTCCTGTAGGTCAGTTATATTTTATAACATTTGTGCTATACTATCAGTTAAATGTGTATTATCTGATTATTTCCAAGAATAAAATATAAAAAAAAATAGCAAATTCGAATAGAGCAACATTATATTATGTCATTCATTAACTGAAATCTGATTATAACTATGGTTACGCACAGGATATAATCAATCTGCCAAAAAAAAATTCACCGTCATTTTACTTACAGATATACACATAACGATGTGTTTGTTCTAGTCATTCTCAAATTTCATTCCATTCATAAATAATTTATTATGTCATTTATATTAGTATTAAATGACTTGTTTAGTTTGTTTTGTTTTTGTTTCTAAAAATTCCAAATATTACGTAATTACACGTATAAATATTACTCCTTGTACTATTAACAATTAGTTCCCATACTTGTACATTGAGCTTCGTTTTTTCGGTGAAAAAAAACACACAACATAATGTTCTAGTTTCCCATTCAGAATTGAACATTTGTATTCAATCTTTCATGTATTGCAACAGATGAATTATATCTCTCTTTTTTTATAAATTTCAGCTTTATTTCCTATAAAAATGCATAAAAACAATTGAAATTCAATAAGATTTAAGCAGCTAAATTAATTTCTTTATTTTTTTTAAGTTAAATTTTCTTTCTCATATTGTAATGTTTAATTCCCCGGGCAAGATCTATCCACACTTCTAGACGATGATCTGGGGATATAAGGACACATTCCATGAACTAATTTGAGAGGTCAGATCAATATCAGACTAATCCCCTGCTCTATCGAAACACGAATTATTACTTACGTTATAGTTTACATGAGTGTATAACATTAAAAATGGAGAGGACATTATCTCACCCTCCCGCTCAAAGAATCTATGACTAAGTGCGTACACCTGTATTTCAGGTGCGCATATAATGTACATTAGGTAATATGCTATCACAAACAGCTATCACGCTCCCATTAGTTGAGCCATGAGTAAATTCAGAGAAGTCAATCTTCTCATTTGTGTGTAGTTGGGAGAGGAGCGAGGTGTTTGATTTGAGAAAATTCTTGTAACATAGTACTCTTTCATACCGTTTCCTAAAATTCCAATCATATTACATTGATATTGTGTAATACTGATTTAGTAAATATTGAATATTCAAACTTTGAGCCAACTATATGCATATTCAAAACCTCAACCCTCCAAATACTTATTTCGATCCTACTAGTCTGATGACAACATAACGTAAACTTGTGTATCTTAACATTAAATGTATATATTACCTACTTCTATTAATTCTCTGAGTTGGATGAATAACTGTTTTTTTATGCTGACTTTTAGTCATTAAACTTCCAAGTCAATCAGATTGGAATATTTTATCTTTGTGTTCAGAATACGGTGAACATAGAGGATAGATTTAATTACCTTCAAAAATACCGTTGAATAAGGTTGAGTTGTATACCTATGATTTTCTTACATAATTTTCTATAAGTTACTGAAAACAGAGAGAGGCAAATTTAAAGTCATCTTAGAATAATTACAAATAACAGTAATATTCATTAATCTTTCACGATACATTATCGAATATGTGCATGTTTTTATCTTGCCGTTCTTCCACCAACCTACCTGAGATAGTCGAACCAAAATGAATACATATTCTAGCCAATATATTTCAGTTAAGTCATCATGATACTCAGGCTGAACCACTACGTCAATGTAATAGTTATAGTTGGAACAATATTTACAATTGATTGATTACTGAATAGTGACCAATGCCATGTATATCAGGTCATTCATAATACTAATTAAATTCTATTATAAATATATCTGAGTCCTATGAGAATTTAGTCACGATCTAAATAGCACAGTACTAACTTCGCTAATTGTGAAGATGAATGATATTGGATCGAATCTACCAAGAAAACTTCAGTTCTCTTGAAATTATAGGTACACTTTCGTAATAAGTATTAAATAGCACGAGACATAAATCCAGGGTATCTTATTAATCACTTCTCAACCTCCACCTTTCAATCCGGACAATATCTATTTAGTTAATTGAATTTATATTTAGTTAACTAGAGTAACAAAAAGAAAAAAAGTTATTTAATCCACTATAATCGTTGCTTATATATTAAATATTTATCATGTGATTCATTCTTGAATTGATACCTGCTTCTTCATTTTCTTCATACGAAAGTAATAATAATAATAGTAATAATGCATAATAAATATATATATCTAAATATAATGTTTAATCCAGTCAAATCATGTGGCTGACAGATGGTGTACAACCCTTTTTTTCATTGTCCTTCTATATATTCTCTTATGAAGTCGACAAAAATACAATAAATGTATCAATTAAATGACGTAATATCCATGTATCTTATTTATTTATGTCTGTTCTTATGTTTATAATCTAAATTAGAATAATTATAAGTATACATTACTGTCATTATATATATATATATATATATATATATATATATATATATATATATATATAACTTATCAATAGAGTGTTTTAATGAAGAACTATTATATATAATATACTGCTGAATTAGATTAACATTGCATGATTGATCTAGATAGTTGAGAAATTTTACTAAATAAACCGTAAACTACTTCAGTAGGTGTTTTGTTGTAGAACATGATAAATATACAGAAGACATTTGAATGAAGAAGCTACACTGACGTTAGTATGAATGTGGTATTGATTTCTTTCTTAGTGTAATAATTAAATATTCAATTTACAGTTCATAAATAGTTAGCTCAACTCTCTTTTTGGTTCGGTGATATTAGACTATTTATTATTTGTATAAGGTTGTAGAGATTGTTGAGTTTTAATTGAGATCATGAACCTATCAGTGTTAGACCACCATTGAAAACTTGAAAGCGCTGGATTACTTAAAGTTAGAAATCAACTCCGTATTCTAGGGGTTAAATGTTTGTGTGCCAGATCGAAGGTCCTGGAGTTCGAGTACCTCGTACGGGATCGTGGGTCAGCACTGCTGAGGAATCCCATATCATAACGAAACGGCGGTCCAATGCTCCCAGGTTTTTACTGATGGTCTAATATTTATTTTCTGTTTACACAGTATAATTTACGGTATTATTATTTGGATGCATGTTAATAGATGCATTTTTTTGCTGTGAATAGATAAGTAAATTAAATGTCTAATCAGTTTAATTACTCTTTCGCCCTCACTCACTCTCCCTCTCGCTCGCTCTCAAACTGATTGTTTTCATTAAAGAAGGCTTTGGTTTGCAACTGATCTAATTATCATGTTTCTCTTGTATTATGCAATGAAAATATCATATACATATCTATAACCTAAACTTTTATTACTTACCTTCATACATTCGAATGTCAGCTCCAGAAATAATATGAATTTTAATGAATGTACTCATCTATACCATTATCCAATATCTTATCGAGAAAATAATTCTTATTTCTTACAGGTACAATTGATTTTTTGTACTTTTTCTTCCTCACAAACACATTAGACATTTTAGACACTGATTAGAAAAAGAAAATAAGACAATAATTTAGAATTATTATTTCTTTATAGTAATTCAGTTAATATTTAAAATAAGTCAAGTTAATAGTTAATACAAATAATAAACAGTGCAATCACCAAACATCTCCTTGATACAGGACATCAGGTAGATACCTTACAATCCTTTAGGGTGATTAGTAAGCAGTCAAACTCCAGTCTTCTGAAGTTTGCTGAAGCCATTGCCATCAGGCGTCAAAAACCTGACCTATGTATTCAAAAGGAGACGGTGGTTAATCTTTCCTTGCCCTGGTGACAAGTATTCCTTCACTGCACCTGTAAAAATTTTTTTCTTTTGCATTTATTACATCACTGATTTTATTCAACTATCTTTCAAATTAATAATCTTTCAACTGAACTCTACTCACTATATTCCTATTAATGTTATTCATTATGTAATCAATTGTTTCTAACCCATTTTTGAACTGTTGTCACAATGTTGTAGAATATTCTTTCACATTAGGTATATATTTACAATATTCAGTAAGCAATTTAAACCCATTATGCAATTATGATTTTTAAATATCACAGATTGTAAGCAGCTGATGAGAACCTACGAAATAAAATGAATTCATGCTATTCTGCTAGAATCTTTGTTCTTACTCTTTTCAAAATAATCTACTGTTTCATTTAATAATTAGCTGATACTTTCAAATATGATCCAAATACAAATTCCTTCTTGATAGTTTATTGGCAGTGTACTCTTCATGAGTAATCCAGACTTTATTTATCTTTATATATTTTCTATGAAATAATCAATGAATATTGTATTGAATAGCTTTGAATGACCGTGAAATAATCGTTTAATAATCCCCAAGTCATGATGACACTGATAGTGATGGCCATGATATCAGTTTATTGTTAGGACGTCATAGTTGAAAACAACTGAATCAAAAGCTGGAATACAGAAGTTTCCTAGTAATAATAATAATAATAATAATCCGTTTACCATATTTAATATAGTACTTGGAAAATACAGTTACTTCATTATTTTTTCAGGGCTCTTTAGTAGTACCCATATGCAAATGTGTACACTATCAAAACTAAGACTTTTAGAATTCAATTTCAGTATTAATAAAACTAGATACGCTATAACTGGTAATAATAATATTAATACTAATGATTATAATTCTTTGTTTTACAATTTATTTATTTCAGGTGAACGTCCGTATATATGTCGGCATTGTGGTAAAGCTTTCTCACAAAATGGTACATTAAAACGACATTCACAAACATGTAAAGCTGCTTATAATAAAAACAACAGTAACACTAATACCAATAATAATAACAATAATAATGAGAATCGAGATGTTCATTTCAGTCAAAAATTCCCCACATCTACACCTACTACCCATCATCAATCATCATTCATTAAGAACATATCAAATAATATTACTGATCCAATTAATTTGAAACCATCAAATTTTTCAACATTATTATGTGATCCAATTGATGGATTATCAGATACTGAAGGTCAAATGAATTTATCACAATCCATAAATAATATTAATCATATAAAAACTACTTTACCTACTACTATGAATAGTATAAATACTAATATGAATATCGTACAGAATAATAAAACGAATGTAAATAAACTATCGAATCGATATATTTATCCTGAACCAACTGAAAAACAATTACATGTAAGTTATTCTAATGATGATGGTTGTTTGATTTTAAACAAAAATTGTTATTCTGAAAAGAATGATTAATTTTATCAAATAAATGGATGAAATTTATAGAGATAAGCAAGAGTAACGTTTTGGTTGAAAATCAAAATAAGAATAATAAGAATAGCTTGTATGGATTTTCATTATTAAGAAAATTCTATTTGTCCTAAAAATGGATGTTTTTCTTTGATTTGAGTTAATCAGTAATATTTTTTTTGGTGATGGGTTATTTATTTATCCTTGTTACTTCTCGTAGAGCATAGACCATCGACCACGATCCTTCAACCAACTTTGTCCTAGGCAATCCTTCCCAGTTGTTTTCATGTGTTATTGATTATTTTGATGTTTGCCTCCACTTCCCAGTGCAATATGTTTTTTGTTCTGTTTCTTTCCATGTTAGGGGTTGTTTTGTGATACAATTTAATAATTTTTCTTAATGTGTGTTGTGTCCTACCTACTTCCAGTGTCTTTTCCTAATTTCCTTATCAGTTGAAAGTTGGTTTGTTGCTGATGGTGTACGGCGAACGAATCCAGATTATCTTGTATTGACAACTGTTTGTGAAGAGTCATAACTTTTTGATGATGGTTGTAGTAGTTCTCTAATTTTCATCTGTGTACTATAGAACTGCCTTGACGTGTGTATCAAGAATTCCGACGTTGATGTTGGGTGACAGTTGTTTTGAGTTGCAGGTGCTCTTCAATTGTAGGAATGTTTGGTCATAAGTGCATCAAAATAATCCAATATTACAAGTGGACGAAGTTTAATACATACTTAGACGGAAGGGTTTAAATTTGATGTGCTCATAATTAAACTTGAATATCTCCATCTAAGAAGGTATTAAAATTGGGCCAATTGCGACCAAATTCTTTTCACCATAATTACAGTTTGTAAATTTCATGAACTGAGTTTCGTGATCATCTTTAATTTGGATTCTATAACGAACATTGTACAATTTAAGGAATCATTATTTTGCAATGAAAATGCCCTAACTTTCATTTTTAACTGACATTAGTAATAGTTTTCAGTTTTTATATTTTACTGGTTTCCTGGTTGATGTTAATTTTTGACGTAAAATGTCAGTATAAATTAAATCCAATTAAATAATAATTATGTAACTTCTAGATGAAATTCGAACGTTATAGTAAATTGTTGTGGTTGTGTCGCTTTAGTCATCAAAAAAATTTGAGATCACTAAATCCTAACTTGGTAGACTAAAAAATTATAAAACTTTCATAAGTACAGTATATTATGTATAATGTTATTTTTGATGTAGAAATAAACATCTGCTCACTAGTGACTGACTTCAAGAGATACTCTTGGAGTTCTAGTGAGAAGACGTTACCAGTGGAGTTCAACCAGATCTGTTGTGAGATATCAACTCACTGAAGACAATGGTGTACGGTGGCGCTATTTCGTGGATTGGTTGAAGTTAGACATTAACACCGTTGGATGCGGCTCAGCGGTCTAGTTGGTTAAACGTCTGGCTCGGGACTGATAGGTCTTTGGTTGGAATCTCGCGGGGGGTGGCGGGATCGTGGATGCGTACTGTTGGGGAGTCCCATACCAGGACGAAACGATCGTCCAGTGCTTTCAAGTTTTCCATGGTGGTCTAGCTTCAATTGTCTCGTGATTTCAATCAGTGAAATAAACAACTATTAGTTTCTATTCATATATGTAAATAAATGGAATAACATTTCATAATAACATAAGACTGAATAAACTTAATGAAAGGCAATGAAACAACATATATGATCGTATAAAAATTGTGACTATATCAGTAATTGTATTCTTATCTTAAAATATTGTCTTCTTTTCTAAACTAAATAACTGAATATCTAACTAGATCATATGTCGACTGATTCATTCAAGGTCAAGATCAAGGACAATGAATTGTTATCTTAATGTGAATATAAGTGTATGTTCATGTAACCTTGTACAGCGATTTCAATGAGAAAAAAAAGAAAAGTGGTTTTCTTCATTTATATATATAAAGAATCTAGCATAGTGAACAATTAATTCACAATAACTGATTCATACATAGGATTTTATTTGATGTTTGTCTAATCTTTTGGTGTTAATCAAATTTTACTGATCGTTTTACAGGTTAACCACTAGTCTAATTGACTCTAGATTGAATGTACTTTGTTAAAATGTTAAGTAATTGGAAATAATCGGTTGGAAACTTTCTTTAAATTAAGTTTCTTGCCTGTTAACACTTGTCATCAAGATGGGATTACTATCTTGAAGGGGTTTCGTATAAACTGTTGTGATGTTCTAATAACTTAAAACACTGAAGTATTTCGTAGATGATTTAATTCAAATTCCTTCTAGTCAACTGTGTACTATCAATAGCCTTACGTACAATATGTATCAAATATTTGATCATTGGACTGTATTAAATTAAAACTTACTTAGGCTTGTGTTGAATCACTAACTAGACAAACAAAATTAGAAAATAATTATATTTAATAGTAGAAAATACATAAATAAATAGATGTCCAATAGTATTTTTTTTTATTTAAATTATTCAATTACACAATTAAAGTTAATTGTCAACAGTGTCAACATAACGACAGTAATTTTGATGTAGACACTTACGTTCAAAAAATGTATGTGAAATGATGTTTATTTCTCTGCAAAATGATTTTTATCGAATTATAAACGGACTTTCATTTATAAATATATTAGTTGTTGCACAAGCTAGTAGCTATCTGGACTCTGTAGCTAAGTGGATAACTCATTGACGTTTGAAGCCAAAAGTGTTGGGTTCGAGTCCTGGAGTGTTCATTAACTGTGGGATACAGGTATATAAGGCTGACTCCTACTGCTAACCGCCATCTATCTCCGCATAAACCTACCTCATATGATAAAATGCGTTAGAACTAAAGAATCACTGAGTGATTGTTATGTCCTACCTCAAGATACCTTAGTAATTAATGCATATACACGGTATCATATAAGATGGAAATGAGTATCTTCAGTTCTCACCTTTCAAATACAATATAATTGTATTATTAAGTCATATATGTTATCTAAATGGTAGGATAGATGAATGTTCTATACATATCAATGATTCGTATATACATGAGTTAACTGATACAAAAAAGTACATTGACTAAATTTAGATTATATGTTGACTGATTCATTCAAGGTTAAGATCAGGGATACTGAATTGTTATCTTAATGTGAATATAAGTGTATGTTCATGTAACCTTTTACAGCAATTTCAATGAAAAAAAAGAAAAGTGGTTTCCTTTAGAATAGATATCAGTTTAACCATGTTATTTGTATAAATATTAACACTACGATTGACACGGATAAATTGATTCAGTCGACATAGCCAAATTAACTGATTAACCAATAACACATTCAGTGTACATCATACGTAGAATTATATTTGCTTGTGAAATGCTGATCAACAGGAAACCTTAAACCTAAGTTTTCTTCTGTTCACCACTAGTCAGTAAGGTATACCTGTAATCTCCAAGGTATTTATTATTATTTAAAAGTCACAAATACTATCCTCATCCAAACAGAACAATATACAGATTTACTAATCGATATTATAAAAAGATTAGTTAAATCATTTAGTCATGGATAAAGATATTCGGTCCGTTGATAATTCTTTTTTTATAGGTTTCATTCTAGTTCAATACCATGATGTCATCAATTAATTTCCAGTTTCGTCTTTTTCTTCTTTTTAACAAATTATTATCTATATCTTTGTATACAGAATATTACGATTTTTTCTCAAAATTATTTCTTCATTTGATTCGTGTTTATTCTAAAGAGCAGAGAGTCTCCAGGTCACCTTATTACAATGTGGTAATAAAGCTTTGTTGTGTATACAAAATAAAATCTTTGTATTTCTCTATGTGTGTGTATCTACATTTATGTGTACGCATGTTTTGACAAAAAAGATGTACGTATAAGTCATTGTAATCGCTCACCCATACCATACATATGTTAAGTAACTAACAGATCGATTAGATAACGTCATACCACCATACATTGTTTGGGTTACATAGGATTTGTTGTCTGAATTACGTACTATCTAACACACATATAGATATATATACAAAACTGCACACATATATGCATGCGTTTTCACGTCTCTAGCTTAATTCAGCTTTAATTCTATTATTAGTGATTACTACTGGGTTTTTGGTCTGTCCATCTGCTCAAACACTGCTCTAAAATATAAATATATATTTACGAACTTCCTATTCATTTTCATTCCCTACATATGAACGACACATTGCCACCCCCACCCCCATCAATGCTTTAGTCATTTTTATCCATGTGAAAATTTCGCTTTGTTCGTGTGACAGCCCCATGAGGCATGAATAACATAATGTAGTATCTAACATAAAAGTTCCGTGTACAACTCTTGCAAGCCATGTTTTCAAAATCGAACTCACGTAATAACATACACCCTCTTTGTTATAATGACAGCCGCTAAGCTTATTATTAATAAGAAAAAATTTGTCTGACTCATATATATATATTTACCATATTACTTATTTACTACCTAATGTACATCGTATGACCTCAAGGGAGAAAATGGTAATCTAGTTCATGGGATTTGTACGTGTGTATTGAGAAGAAAAATATGTGATATAAAGACAGTCAGTGTACAGTCAAGCGCAAAAATAAATAATACATTATCAAAAAAAATAAATTCGGTCACTCTTTTATACATCTATTACATTTTATGTATGCGTAAATACGAAACTATTATCAATGTACACACTACTTTTCTCTTTTTAATTTATATATTGTGTATGTATATATATATGTGTTCATGTACACGCCTGAATGAATCTATCTATACATGTTTGTTGATGGCGTATGCATGCAAAGATTTTCTTTACTACTTAAAATTCGGTGTTTATATTTTTTCATCTCTCTATCTCTCCTTCCTCCTTTCTTGCTTTCCTTGTAATTTCCATTGTATATCATGAGTGAACAA